TGGGGGTGGGGCGGGGCTGGGCTCAGCGATAACCCAAGCAGGACCTGGGGCAAATCAGCCTGTACAGGGCCCTGCCCCCAGATACAAGGAAGCCAGCAGTGGATTCAGTGGAGGGGAGGGGTGCTGAGCAGCCAGATGTGGAGCTGGTGGCAGTGTGGAATCGCTGCACCACTCTCCCCAGCTCCGCAGGGCCCCCTAACTGCGGGACCCGGGGCAGTTGCCTGATTCACGCACCCCGCCCCCCCAAACAGCCCTAGCTGGGTTGCTGCATTCCTTCCGAGGCTCCCCATAGGTCCTACTGCCCCTATCATCTTTGACAGGCAGTCAGGAGCAGATAAATATTTTCTCAATTTTTTAGGGGCCCCATGTGCCAGACAGAATGGCTTTGCAGGTCACATCTGGCTCACGGGCCATATTTTGCCCACCCCTGGATTAAAGGGAGTGCTGGAAACCAGGATAGGAGGTACTGGATGGGACACAGCTAGGCTGCCAGTCCAGTAACTACAGGCTGGGACTATGTGGAGAGGTGGTGGGCAGTTACATCAGGGAGGCTCTTCAAACTTGGAAGCTAAGTGCTGGGGGAAAAGAAGCCATAAGAATATAATAAGTTCTATACTGAGTCAGACCAGTGATCCATCTAGCTTAATATCCTGTGTCTGACAGTGGCAGGAGTGGATGCTTTAGAGGGAAAGCATTGAATTAGATCTAAAGGGATCTATTTTCTGGTTTTTCACTCCCTGGTATACACTGTCATTGGTTTAGAGATGCCAGAGGAAACATCTCTGACTGATCTGTTTAAGAGCTGTTAATAGATCGATCAGCCATGAATTTGTAGTCCTTTTCAAACCTGGCTACACTATCTACTTCTATAATCTCTTGTGGTAATGAGTTCCACTGCATAAAAGGTAGCTTTACACCTGCCTCCTACTGATTTCAGTAGTTGTACCCTAGTTCCCTATTCACTTGGTTTATACCCTTCATGATTTTGTAGACCTCTATTATATCCTTCCTTATCCTTCCCCCTTCCAAACAACAGTCTTAACCTTTTCAGTCTCCTGGTATGGCAGCTGCTCCATATCCCTGATCATTCTGCTTGCTTTCTCTGAGCCTTTTATAGTTCTACTACATCTTTTTTAAGGTGTGGAAACCACAACTACACACAGCATTCAAGGTGTGGGCACACCATGGATTTATGTAGTGTGCCATGATGATGTTTTCTATTTTGTTTTCTTTTTCCTTCTTAATGCCCAACAGTTCACAGCTGGCAACAGCTGGCATTTTGTTCTTGCCACTGCACACTGAGCTGACATCTGATTAAGCTACAATGACTCCAAGGTCTCTTTCCCAGTCATAACTGCTAGTTCAGAACCCAGAACTATGCATGCATCATTGTGGGTAGTTTTCTCCATGTGCATTCCCTTGTACTCGCCAACACTGAAGATCATTTGCCATCTTTTGGCCTACTCAGCCTGGTGAGATCTTTCTGCAGCTCCTCTCATGTTGGGATTTGACTACCTGGGTTAATTTAGTATCATCTGCAAACTTTGGAGATTTCACTGAAGCACACTGCCTGTCCATGCAGGACAGGCAGCGGTGCAAGCTGCAGGGACCTGGTGGGTGGCAAATTGGCTTAGCAGTCGCACCCAGAGAGTAGTAGTAGGCGGGTCAGTATCGACCTGGAAGGATGCGGGTAGTGGGGACCTACAGGTTTCAGTCCTTGGACCTGTACTCTTCAATATCTTCATCAGTGACTTGGATGTGGGTGTGAAGTGTACTCTGTCCAAGTTTGCAGACGATACTAAACTGTGGGGTAAAGTGCACACTCTGGGGGGTAGAGAATGATTGTAGGCAGACATAGATGGGTTAGAAAAGTGGGCAGCACACAATAGGACGCAGTACAAGGACAAGTGCACAGTGCTGCACCTAGGGTGCAAAAAACATCCAGCACACCTACTGGCTGGGAAGTGACCCTCTCAGCAGCACAGAAGTGGAAAGCATTCTCAGAGTCATAGTGGACTCCAAGATAAGCATGAGTTGTCAGTGTGACGAAATCATCAGCAAAGTTAACCGCGCTTTATCATGCATCAGTAGATGCATGACAAATAGAACCAAGGAGTTGATACTTCCCCTCTGTGGCATTGGTCAGACCACAGTTGGAGTACTGTGTCGAGTTTTGGGAGCCGTACTTCAAGAAGGATGTTGATAGACTCGAGAGGGTCCAGAGGAGGGCCGATCGTACGGTTAGGGGCTTACAGGACAAGCCCTATGAGGAGAGACTGAGGGACCTGGACCTCTTCAGCCTCCACAAGAGAAGGCTGAGAGCTGATCTTGTGGCTGCCTACAAATTCATTAGGGGGACCCAGCCAGGGATCGGAGATGCTCTGTTCACCAGGGCACCTCTTGGGGTAACAAGGAACAATGGTCACAAACTGACAGAGAGCAGATTTAGGCTAGACATCAGGAAAAACTTCTTCACAGTAAGGGTGGCCAAAATTTGGAATGGGCTTCCAAGATAGGTGGTGCTCTCCCCTACCTTGGGAGTCTTTAAGAGAAGGCTGGATAGGCATCTGGCTGGGGTCATTTGACCCCAGCACTCTTTGATGATCTGTTGAGATCCCTTCCGACTCTAGCATCTATGAATCTATGACCTGACTTTGTGCAAGGTAAGCTGGGGAGGCTGGAGAATGGGGGAGGGAACCATGGGGGGGGGGGACCCCATCTGACAAAGCCATCAGAAAAGCTAATGGCACTTTATCGTGCATCAGCAGATGCATGACGAATAGATCCAAGGAGGTGATACTTCCCCTCTATCGGGCGCTGGTCAGACTGCAGTTGGAGTACTGCATGCAATTCTGGGCACCGCACTTCAAGAGGGATGCCGGATAACCTGGAGAGGGTCCAGAGAAGGGCCACTCGTATGGTTAAGGGCTTGCAGACCAAGCCCCACGAGGAAAGACTAGAGAACCTGGACCTTTTCAGCCTCCGCAAGAGAAGGTTGAGAGGCGACCTTGTGGTGCCTATAAGTTCATCACGGGGGCACAGAAGGGAATTGGTGAGGTTTTATTCACCAAGGCGCCCCCGGGGGTTACAAGAAATAATGGCCATAAGCTAGCAGAGAGCAGATTTAGACTAGACATTAGGAAGAACTTCTTCACAGTT